CGGATGCTGTATTCCCAGACGTTTCCCGCTGCTGTCGCCGCCATGGCCCCGCGCGCTGAATGGAGAAGGGGGTCGCCGAGACGCGCTTGATGAAGAGACAGAGGTGGAAAGCGTGCAAGACAGAAGGACGCAGCGTCGGGCGGCAGAGGCGGCCTGCCAAACGCAGACAGTGCGACACGGCTCGCCCCTGCGCAAACCGGGTGCCACGTGCGCCGCCTTTCGCTGTCTGCGGCGGTCCACACGTGACCGCGCTGCGTCGGCCAGAGCCAACCCGCGCCCGCCGAACGGTCCCAGGCGGCCGGCTCACGCGCCGCGCAAGCCGACGGCTGCAGTGTGGGACAGCCGGGTCCGCTACAGCGACGCCCACAGCCGGGACGGCAAAAAAGGTCGACCGGAGCCGCCACTCCAGAGCCAACGAATAATAAAATAAAAAAGTCGGAGTGCGATGGCCGGGAGTCGAACCCGGAGCTAATGCTTGGAAGGCATCAATGTTACCGCTACACCACCATCGCTTGCGGACTGCGCTATACGGCAGACTTGCGCAAGCAGTGGTCGGCCGGCCTTCCCTCGAAGAGGCGGCGCCCTTTGTACAAAGGCGCGGGCCTGAAGCCCGGAGCTCAACGGCACAGAGGCAGCCCCTTTGGAGCATGCGCATAGCGGTGGTGTCTGCTGCCACAGTCCACTATAACAACGGCTGGAAAGCTAGCTGCCGGTGAGAGCCGCCAGCACGGCAGCACGGTCGTAGGTGCCGTCGCTGGACGCAAGCCCGTTGGCGGCGGTGAACGGCACGGCAACCAGCTTGACGCGCAGGCTGGCCGGCGGAACCTGCGCCAGCCAGCGGAAGCCTGCCTGCAGCGCGGCAGCCATCAGCTTGTCGCGGACAAACTCGGCGCACCACGGGTAGCCGGCGATGCTCTGCGGGCGGAACTCCTTCTTCAGCTGCCTCGCCGCGGCGGCAAGGGCCAGGAGCTGCGGGTAGACGAGGATGCCGAGCCCCTGCTCCGCAGGCAGTGCGACGACGCACACGTCAACTGCGGCGGGCGACGACGCCAGTGCGTGCTCCAGCC